ATTTAAGACAAGAGATCGTAAACATGGAAGACTGAAGTATCTGTACGAATTCATTATTTGACTACTTGATTACTCATCGACCTTGCATGAAACATGTCATTCGCGATAAATCAATACAACTTGTGATATATTCAAGTGCAGTATTCAGCTTTCCATATACGGTAAGTGTTTGAACATGAGTAAATCGGCATAAATGGTTTTTTTTTGTATCGGTGAATGACAACTAAAAATAAGATATTTTGCATATGGAAATGTGGTCGATACTAATCCAGTTGATTCTGTCATAGATATTTTTTTCCGACATAATAATGGATAACGATATTCAGCATAATATGGATGTGTATAAAGAATCGAACAGGAATCATCAAGCTATTGATCAAAGGTAACATACCATTTCTTTTCTTCAAGCCAGAATCGTGTACGAAACGAATCAAGATTGACATGATTTTTATCTGATATTTCAAATATAAATTGAAAGACAACGATTCGAGTTAATAATTGTATCCATGTATGACCGTTACATAAATCATTTTCGACGTTTCTGATATGAAGAGTCAAATGAGTAAGATGAATCATTGGTGCAAGTAAATGTCTAATCTCGAACATAGTTATATGACTGATCGTAAATGATAATTGTTGTAAATTGTAAGGCAGTTGAAAATCATATTCATATCGAAAATGTGATTAACAGTTAGTTCAACATTGAGTTGTCGTAATCTTGGTGCACTGATAAAAATGTCATGTAGATGTATTCGAATACCTTTTATTGTTAAACATTCAATAGTGGATGTTTGTATTGAAGAAGACGATGGTGAGGGTGTGGGTGTCGGGGTGGGTGTGGGTATGGGTATGGGTATGGATGTGAGTGAGGGTGGGGATGTGGGTGGGGGGTGTGAATGTGGATGTGGGTGCAGGTGTGGGGTGTGGATGTAGGTATATATCTTTCCTTTACCCACACTCCACATTCACAACCACACTCCTGTTTAAGAAACTTCTATACTATGACTAATATATATATTTTTTTTTTCATATACATATACTTTGTACACCTCTTTCCACTCATACGTGTCTGATGATGTCCTTAGTTAGGACGAAATGTCACAATTATTTCTATTAAATAAAACATGATTCATAGTTTAATTACTTTAATTTTTTAATCATAGTTATTAAGTATTCCTCTTTCTTACCTGTATTTACATCTGATGCATTCATTGCATTCCTTTGATCTAGTCTTCTTGATTCGTGCTCATCCAATATACGTTTAGCCCTACTCTGTCTGGATTTATGCAGTATAAAAATTTATTCGATATCTGGATTCCTTCTGCTTTTATTATTTGCCTATGCAACACTCGCTCTTCTGCTCTAAATGGTGAGTTATGCCTTCGATGATGATTCAAAAAAACCTACTTTTATACTCGGTACATGAAAAGAGTTCACGTTGTACAATCGATTCTTGTCTTGCATGGAATGATTTCGACTTAAAATTATTGATTTTCTTTACAAATATAAAAGTATTTAAAAAAAATTTTTTTGAACCTTGACGAAGAAGGTGAACAAAGTCTAATAAATTGATTTTCAATTCACTTATCTATTTCCTTTTACAGATTGAATAACTATGTACTGTAATTATCATATATGATTTTGTTAGTTATCTGATCTTCAAAGTATTAATTAAAAATCAATGGACAGATATACACATTCATACATTGAATGAAAGAAATTTAAATGGAATATACGAGAAAAAAAACAACGTTACCACTTATATTCTTCAATGATGATGATACTTCGATCAATCAAATTATTGGAATTTGCTTCTGTATTTATACAGAAAATGTTTCATATCAAGGACATTTCTTACATATAAACAACGAGATGGAGATCGATAGAAAAGAGTGTATCTTAATTATCAATATAACGTTATGGGAAAGAAAGAAAAAAAAAGAACTAGCATGGACTGGATGGGAAATTACTCACGTTCCGTCAGGAAATCAAAGAATAAGTCATGAGAATGGAAAAATCCCACCATCTTCTAATAAGTTGCAATACATAGTCTTTTCTCTTAATCTTGTCTTTCCCTGTTATTTGTTCTGTGCCATCATATCACATCATTATGGGTAAAATCTCACAACTAATGACCATATTATTTATTTCGATGATAAAATAAGATAACAATAGAACTTTTCCTATATAAATAGTGGATCACAACACTCAACGAGTACTATACTATTGTATTCAACTACTTTACTTTCGATCATCCTCTTCAAGCAAAACACATACAACTTCATACAAAGCAGGTAAAGTCAAGAGTGAATTGTTGTCTTTCTTGCAACATCGTCATTATCATTCGAATACATTGTGAAGTTATTCCATTCTAAAACATTATTGCTATCACTGAAAAATAGCAAAGAAATAAGGTAGTCGATACTAATATCTGACATTATTATGTTTTTAGTTACGACTATGTGAATTAGATCATGGTCAGTGTCATCCTCATTCTTTTTAGTTTGCCGTGAGTCTCGAGCCTTCTTCTTGAATAATATTTAATGTAATAAAAGTTAGATATTAATGAAATAGTTAACAAATAAACTTACCGTTTAACTGTCTTTCTAACAAAATATATAGACCAGTATTTATTATAATAAATGATAGAAAAGTGTAGGTAAGAATGTTGAAATGTATTTGTCAACAATGCATCATCAATGAGATTCGAAAGGGTAAATTTTGAAGAGAATTGACGAGAATCAAAACGATTTTCTGCAAATCCATATCTGAATATCGTTCCTCTTTCCAAATCCGACAGAAAAACAGAACAAGAACAATGTGAATCAAAAGTTCGAGTAGGATACGAGTCACAGGAGATATTAGAATTCAGAAGAAGTTTTTCTTTTATTTTAATAAGACGGATAAAAATTTCACCTAATCGTCACTATGTAGCTATTTTTATATAGAAAAATTCAATAAATTATAGCAATGAATTAAAGATGTAAAATTATTTGTCATATGGAATAACTAATGTTGTCAAAACAGAAATAAAATATCTGATTATTTCAATAAGCATGACTGTTCGTCACTCCTATGAATAACGGCGATTAAAGAAATCAGTCACATAATATGCTCTATGAATAATACGATGAATCTGATAATATCCTAGAGCGCAAAAGGAAAATTCAAAATGATCACAGATAATAATAATAATACATTAAAAGAATTTCTGATCAATCGATAACTATGAAATACTCATTTTCTACACATGCTCTTTTTCAGAACGAAGAACATAAGTTGTCAAATTGTGCTTTTAGAATTATTAGCAACACTGAACAGTGGTTTTCTTAACTTGAAGTGGTCGATCATATCCGAAATTTATCATTTTTGACCAATGGATCCATTTTATGTCACAAGCTATTCGTTGCAAAGAATCTCGAATCATTAATATTTGCCATTCTTTATTTTCAGAAGCTTTACAAAGCGAACAAGGAAAACTATAGTTGAAGTGATAATATGATTAATATTATTTCGTCTTTGACTTTATTTGGACTTTTAATTATCAATTATGTGTCTGCTACATGGCCAAAAATTGGTGGTCAAGTTTTTGGAGTTCATACAACGTATCATGGTGCTTACGAAGTGGGTGCATGCGAACTTCCAAAATCCAGTTATGCTATTGTCTATCCGATCGCACTCGGAAATATTGAATCTTTGAAACATTTGAAGTGGCGACCTGAATTATGTGGTCAAGTACTCCAAATTGACTGTGGAAATGGGCCATTGGACGTCATCGTTATAAACTCAAATCTGGGCGGTGGTCTTGATCTATATGCTTCGACTTGGAAGAAACTCACTAATAACATGTCTCCCGGAGTTACATATTGCAGTGTGCAGTTGAGCTCTCGCAACGCCTTCGACTTCAATGGACCTCGTTGCTATCACAGACATGATACCTCAGCTGGTGATGAGTACTATCGTAATGTTGGACTTTTGAACACCAATGGACGTATAGTCAATGGAGCTACAATAGATAACCGTCCTGGTGTACATCATGGAGACAACCCGTTCTTTGCGTTCAACTTCGGCATCCCAATCAGTCTCGACAAGCAAGTTGTTTTCACTTTCGAAGATGGAAACACTCATACGGTTCATTTGCGCGATTGTGAATATCAGAAAAACAGACAATTTTGGAGTTAAATCAATACCATGAGACTTATTTTTAATCTAGAATTTCTTTTATTTCTGTAAGAATGAACAAGATCACCGTTTATTTATATAATAAAACATCATATCCAATTTTTATCCATGGACAACTTTGTATTTAAGTTACATACTTTCACATATATGCATCATATACAAATTAAAAGGACACACAACTTACTGAGTTCGTCTCTCATGATGCAATCATCAACTGTCAATCACCAAACCTGTAGATACTACTCGACTGCACGCAAATACGACTAAGAACTTTTTTTGGACACTGAAACTTTTATTGCCATATGTTAAATTTCATATAAATGTGAGTTTATATGTTCTCGTTGAAATCGAGTTCAATCCTATAAAGTTTAGTATCGAAATCCGAAGTTGAGCTCGATTTTGATGTGAGTATGGATGTAGGTGTCGAGGAAACCACACCCACACCCATACCCTTCAAGGATATACGATCTTTTTGATTGAGTTGTAAGGTTTTCAATTTTTGGCCATTTTGCCTGGGAAAAACAGAAAATTGGCCTTTACTTTTCAAGAAAGAGCTCTCAGCTCAAATCCTTTAAGGCTTTCTACTATCTCGATGCTCTCTATCAAACGACGTATGAATGAAGGAAATCGACGTTGGACACCTCAGGCAGTTCCTTCGTAGGAAGACACACATTTGAAAGTAAGAATATGGAGTGTGATGAAGCTCAGAACTGACAAGAAAAGTCACAAAAGACATCAAGATAGGAATGTATCTCTCTGTTATCTCACCATATATGAAATATTTTTATCTCTTTACCTGGCCTTAACTGTTAGTAAATATGCATCTTCTCGTATTTCTTTTTCTTATAATTGGATGTTTATGTGACATAGAAGTATTGATCGATCAAAAAGGTGCATATAATATTAGTATAAACACTCGCTTATGGCTTCGGTCATCTCATACAGCTTTATATGTAGACAATAAATGGTATTCATCAGCTGATAATTCACTTCCCTTAATTAATATAACTTATGCACAAGGTTATGATCTAAATTTAGGTAGTTGGAATGAAACTCGATTGATTTATGATCTTCTTCGAAATGAAACCCGTACAAATATAGTTGGTCATATTCGTCAATGGAGTTTAGTTTCAGCAATAACATTTCATTTGGATACTGGTGATCAAATTATGACAAACACAATTTCTCTCGACATGAAACATGTTCGTACAATTTTTCCATCATTTAATATTGAACAGATTGATATAAATGATCAACGAGGTTATTTTACATTTGAAGGTGAGATTATCTGTCTCTTCTATTTTAATTTTCAAATATGAGCTTCATTTAGGAATTATGGCAGGTGATGGTGACAACCATGCAGGTTTTTGGAATTCATCGAGTAAAGTCATTCATTCGGGCATGCAAAGTGGTCCAGTCGTTCTTTTTAATTTGACTCAACGAGGAGAAGATGATGTGTTAGTTCTTTCACCTTTTTCTCGATTCATGGCCACTTCATTGAGTCAAAAGGACAACATTTTACAATACGGTGTTTTGGGTTCAATATTAACAATATCAGCAAATTATAATCATTCTATGATTGTTTTCTATTCATCACATGGTATAAATCAATGTATTAGAGAATGGGGTGAAACTATGCAACGAGTATATAATCGAACTAATCAATATCGTCTCAACGATCTTACCATCAATTATCTTGGCTATTATACGGATGCTGGTGGTTATTATTATTATAATACAGAACAAGAAATTAATTATGAAGAAACAATAGTTGATATTCACCAACAGATTCTACTTCCATTACATTACATTCAACTTGATTCATGGTGGTATTATCAAGGTATAAAAAATGGAGTTACTCAATGGACAGCTCGTCCAGATATCTTTCCTGATGGTCTTCAAGTCGTACATCGTCGATTAGAAAATATTAGTTTAGCTGCACATAATCGATATTGGGCAATTGATAATGTTTATCAAGAGAAATATTCTTTTATTCTTGATGAAATTAATGAAAAATCATTACCAATTGGAAATGATTCATTTTGGATTGATTTATTTACACAAGCACATAATTGGGGTCTTATTCTTTATGAACAAGATTGGCTTATTGTACAAACAATTCATTTTATACCAACATGTACTGATATTCATCTTGGACATCAATGGTTAATGTCAATGGGTGAAGCAGCTGAGATGATAGACATAAATATTCAATATTGTATGAGTTTACCTCGTCATATTCTAACAGCTTTACAAATTCCACGTGTTACACAAACACGAGTTTCAACTGATTATTCTTTTCATCTAACTGGTAAAGTACAACAATGGACTATAGGAATATCTAGTATGTTTGTTGATGCACTTGGTCTTGCACCTTTCAAAGATGTTTTTTGGTCTACTTCATTACAACCCGATGCTCCTTATGATCCATCTCCTATGGAAATACTTCCTGAACGAGAAATTCTTATTGCTACTTTATCAACAGGACCTGTTGGATCAGGTGATGCCATTAATTATACAAACGTATCACGTGTTATGAAATGTTGTCGTCAAGATGGTTTGATTTTGAAACCCGATCGACCACTCACAATGATTAATACATTAATTTCTGATTGGGCTTTTTACAATAATGTTTCACAAGGTGAACTTTATTCAACAAGAACAACAATGTATATTTCTTTCTATTAATTTCTAACTATGATAACTTTGTATTTTTAGTAATGATCAAACATTCCATGTAATTTTTGCATGAGCAATGAAACGAGATTATTTAGTTTATCCTTCAATGATTGGAGCTCAGTCTGGAGTTATTTGGTCATATGATAATCGAAATATGATATCAACTTTCGATGATGATAATCCTTTAAATATTTCAGCTACTCAATGTGATGATTTATCAATATGTCTTTGGTATGTATCACCTTTACATCCACTAAATGATATATCTGGAACACAATATGCTCTTCTTGGTGAATGGAATAAATGGACAGCTGTTAGTCAACAACGAATAATATCTATTGTTTCGGATATAAAAAGTAGTCAAGTCACAATTACTATACAAGGTACATCTAGTGAAATAGTTCCAATTGTTGTTTTTCATACTGTTTTACTATCTATTACTGTCAACTGTTCAATGTCAGCTATGAATGGTCAAGCTCATCTTATCATTAGTCCATCAAATGTTGTTTGTTCTTGAATGAAAGAAAGTTTTTATTTATAAATAAAAACTAAAAAAAAATTAATTTATATATTTTCACTAATCCAAAAATATTTAATTTATTTGTCATAAATAAACTTTTAATATTGATAATTTTCGTAAATGTTTTAATAAAAATAATAAATCATTTGTTTGATCAATATTACATTTAAGTTGTTTAATATTCAAAAATATTTTATAAAAATCTTCAATCTGATAATGAAATTTAAATGAAGAAAAACAATATTTATAAATATCTAATTTTTTAATCATTTTATTTAAATATTAACATATTTCCTTATTGTATGCAAAATGTTCTAAAGCATGAATACTAATCATTAATGATGATATTTGTGGTGATTCTAGTAGTATTCTTAATAATACATATGCATCTTTGATTTTAAATGTAAATGAAATATTTAAATATTTTAATTTCGATAAATTAATAATCGGTTTTAATGATCTAACAGTTAAATTTGTTAATTTCGGTATCTGTTTTGCTAATCTTTTGAAATCTTTAAATTTATATTTAAAATTAAATATACTTAATTCTTTTAAATGAACAGCTTTATTTATATTATCATTTGGATAATTTATTGTCTGATTATAATGTTGCGAAAAATATTGAAAATTAAAATAAGTTAATATTGGTGTATATTTAAACACATGATGGAATAATTGATCGAGCGAACAACCAGAAATAGTAAGATTTGTAATTGATGAACGTTTATTAATGAATGATAATGTTAGATTTGATAATATTTGTAGATTAGATGTTAATGGATCGATTAGATGAATATCATTAGAATCAATTAAATGAAAAGAATATAATTGTGGCATGACAGATAATATTAATTTTAACTTTTGTAAATTATTTTCTTCAACTTGAATTAATGCTAATGAATGAAGATGGGGTGTGAGTGTGATGACTTTTGTCATCCACACGCACACTCTTAGAACCGATGATATTCAATGAAATTATTTCAAATCTCGTATATTGGATTTACTGCCGTAAACAATCTTCAGAAGGTGCGCTTTGCTTAGATGCAATTTTAAAAGACAATAATTTTGTTCAACTGTTTTTTTTCCTTTAGTGCGCATCTTCCTCCCTCCTCCCCTTTATATCTATCTTATCCCAATCATTCCATCTGTTATAGATATTGCTAATAATATTGCAAAATAATCGGCAAACATCCCATTGTGAAAATTCTGTTTCCAAATCTCACTGGTACCATTACATGATTTCTTAATTTTATCATTGTCTGCGAATGACCTTGAAGCATGATAGACAATATGAAGAGCGAAGCACACACAGTCAATGACATATTTCATTGATTATTACTTTTGCTAGGTACGTTTCATAGAAAAGTGGTTTTATAGGTTTTTTATATGTAATCTGCAACTGTAATGAGTGGAGCAGATTACCAGTGAAAGGATGATTAAGGATATAGCTAACGAGAGTAGAACTTCTTTTTTTTAATGTTTTGTGGTAGTTGTAATCGATTGTGATATTGAAAAGAAAGAGTGTGAACATTGGGGTTGTGTTAAATGCATATCTCCGTTTATTATTCTGTTATTCTAAGGCCTAGGCGATATGGTTGAGTGTTTTGAAATAGTTCAAGAAGTCTCTGAAAAGTCTTTTTGTGAAATGGATTTACAAGCTCTACAGATGTGTAAAGCATCAATGGGTATGGTTGTAACTATTCATTCAGTTATCAAAAAGTTTGTTATTTGATTAGATTTGTCAAACTTTCGTTCGAGACTTTTAATAACATGATGATTTCTAGCAAATTTTTTGTTTGAATGTCGATTATAATTTAAGAGAGTACTCTTATTCACATCCTCATGTGATAGAGTATAGCATGCCGACTTGTTCATTGGATCCGAACCATTTTTCATCATCTCTTGACTGAAGTTGATCAAAGATCTTTGAGGATATAATATTTAACACGAATTAGATCGTGGATTTTCAATGTCGATGAATAAAGAATAACGTACGTATTTCTTTCTTCTGTTTCGTTGTCAACTAACGATGAAGGTGGTTGACTGGACGGATATATTAGAGTCAATCCGTAATTACACCTTCTCGGTGATCTTCTGGATTACTATGTGACATTCTCAACTTATTTTTGGTGTATTGTTGTCCATTGCCGCTCCTTGGTTAGTTTTTATACCTACCTCTTCTTTCCACATGTTTAGATTGTGTCTCTCCCTCGTCTCGCTTTTTTCTCTTTTCTTTCTCTCTAACAGTTCATATATAAGCAATGGATGATATAGAATAAAGGGACATCAGATGATTAAATCATAATCATTATATACTATCGATAGTACATTACTATATAATATTTGCTTCAATATATTTGTTATACAATCTTCAAAAACACTTAAACTTGATAAAACAGCAAAGTTCTTTTTTCTTCTCATCATTCCACAGGTATTGACGGGAGAAAAACAAGAGGTGTAATGCTCTGAAACATGATTTCAAATATCATATTGGAGAGATACTCAAGTATATTTACAATGATATGTTGTTACTATTGGCAGAAGAAAAAAAATCAAACGGGCGTTTGAAGAACATCGATTGATGATAAAGGACAACCTATTCTTTGATACCAATCATACCACTGTAACTTCGACCGTTCTTAGAGATAGTAAGTTTTCCATTTGTATTCACTATTATCTACTCTTCAACTATGTATATGTTCTAGATTGTTCGGTATATAATCCATGTGGACGAAATGGTCGTTGTTACAATAATCTTGACGGTGAATGGATGTGTGTTTGCAAATTTTGGTGGAATGGAACTTTGTGCAATGACAGTGAGTCTAAACATATAACTAATTTGAAGGAGTCGAATACCCATGTAACTATGAAACGTAGTTTAGGCGCAGCTAGACGCGTCTATGTTGCAAATTCTCGGCGCTCCAACGTGTTTCTATATGGAATCATGACGGAAGCGCATCTAAATGCACCGATCACTGTGTTTCACGAACGCGTTTACAGAAAATTCATAGTTTCGGAGCATATTTTTAGACTAAACGCATACAAACGTATTTTACCTTTCATTATGAAACATGTTGGGATGCACTCATATCATTTTATGTCTCTAATCACGTTTAATAATGGAAAGAAGTTATGTCTTTTTCACTAATGCTATTTAATTGACAGAGTCGATAAAATGTGTTTCACTGGATGCATTGCTTTATGAAACGCAGTTGAACATATAGTTATATAGTTTAGTTAGTGAGGATAAATACTTCAAAAAAAAAAGAAGTTGCATCTATGAGAAAATGCGTCCAGAACTCCAATGTGCTACATCTTCGTTGCAATGGTATTGTGATTGGAGGAAATTCTATTGTATAATTATATTAGATTTAGAAGATGGTAGCTGAAAGAAAAAAATTAACTTTTCTAATTC